TTTCCCCCCCCCCCCCCCCCCCCTCTTGCATGCATAAAATGTTCATTTTTTTGTGAAATAAATCTGATCTACTGCACAGCAGTGCTTTATTCTATAGAAGTTGCTTGGCTATTTCTCTAGGGTCATCCTAGAGCTTTTATTTGCCTTTTTTGAAACTAGGTTTGAACCAAAAACTATGTTTTCTCCTTGAAACTCTTTTGACTTACTAGCCACCCCCTGAGGCCTCATGTATTAGGCGGTACATGGTTGAATGAAGCAAGGTCTTGTTTAGCTGGCTTTCTAGGGATTCTTATATTGGTAAAAATTGCTAGTAAATAGTTTATCCTAATGCATTATTGGTTATTCTTTCATCCCACTTGTCATGCTTCTTGTTTGGTTAATCTCATTCTGATGGTAAATATAGCGTGGTTAGATCAATTCTTAACTTAAAGATCCCTTTTACATTCCCTTTCTGTATGTATTATGTATTGTATAGCACACATTTATCTATTTATCTGCTCTGAATAGGTGCTCTGAATAGGATGTCCATCTTTATGCAAGTATTTATTGCTATTTTCTTGATGACAACCGTGAATGGATCTCTGATGTTTGACTAAATTCCCTGTATCTATTTTCTGCAGGATATTGCCATTCACAACCTTGATTATATTTTAACAGTCTCATCACATGCTTTTGGTAGTGCCTCACCTGAAATTCTTGCTAATCTTGAAAATCTGTTAGACCAAAGGTCATCTGAACCTTGGAGCTATCGTAGTCTTCCAACTCCAACAGCTACTCTTCCTGTCATTATCAATATTGAGGAAGATAGTGAAAGCGAGGTTTCAAGGACTCGTGACAATTACAGTGACAAATATACCCCTAGGAGTGTAATAGATCAACAATTAAATTCCCTCCTACAACCCAAAGATGATCCTATTTCCAAACAAGTTCGGGCTTTACGAAAGAAGTTGCAGCAGATTGAGATGCTTGAGACAAAGCAATCTAAGGGGCATATTCTTGATGATCAACAAATTGCAAAACTTCAGACAAGATCAATTCTTGAAAGTTCACTGGCTGAACTTGGTGCTCCAGTTGAAACAGCACTGGTAAAAGCATCATCTTCAGTATCACCAGATGAGAAGGGGAGCAAAAAATCTGAAGTATCAAGAAAACAAAGAAGAAAGAGCAAAAAACAGGCAGAACAAAGGGAAATGCCATCTGCTTTTACTAGCACTGATGCAGAATGCAGTTCTGTAAAGAATTTCATGGATGTTGAGGTCTCGCAGGTTCCCACAAATAAGGTTAGTTTTCTATTTTTTCTATGTGAACTCCTTTTACTATCATGAAAAATTTTAATGCACCATTGTTGATGCGTTATTTATTATGTTTTTAGATTCAAGTATGGTTACTAAAGGCTGCTTTTAACCAGTAGTGTTCATCAACCCACCTATCTGCCCCACCCAACTCTACTGTCCCTGACCCACTCAATCAAGAGGAGGGAAGTAGGGTCACTTAGTAGTTATGAAATAACCAACATACTGTGTCAATTAAGGGGGTTCAAAGTTTCAAGTATTTCAGGATAACTGGCTGATTAATATTAAACAATGTCTCTTTATTTTTAGCCATTCAACAGACCAAGATTTATTTCTAATTCAGGAATACTCATTCCTATCTGCCCAACATGCTGGCCTGCTAACCTGCCTGATCCAGCAAGCATATAGATGGATGCAGAATGTGTTCCATATCCTAGTAAGCTACCAATTTGACAATTTCAGAACTGGTTGGAAATCTCAGTCCAAAACCAACAAGGGCACGAACCACTAGTTGCATGATGTATCTTCTGTCAGAGAGTCACTTGGGGGAATTCAGTTTTTGGCCCTGCACAAGTTTAAATAATCTGTCCTTTTTGAGATTTGTTTAAATTAGGCTAAAAGATCTCATTATTTTCCCTCTGAATCCAGTGCATTTGCTGAATTTGCATCTCAGTATTGTAAAGTGTCAAGCTTTAACCGAGTAGCAAGTGCTGGTTTTGATTCCACCTATAATTCGCATGATTGGTGGCAACTGCCTTGACAATATTCTGCGCGGTTGTTTAGAAATACTGTTAGGATAACTGTTGTAATATCTATTTAACTTCCTAGGCTGATCGCATATTCTAGGAGGAGTTTGTTCTCATTAATTAGTTTTTTCTTAATTAGTTAACTGTCCTTGTGTTAACCAAGTCTCCCATTGGACACCTCAGTGGTTAAGACTTGGGATTTCTACTAGGAGCTTTCAGGACCTTGGAACGGGTGGAGTGGGGAGTTTAGGAATTGGAGGAAGGCTAGCTAACCCCCATAACGTAGTCCACCACTCTTTGGGTCTTTCATTGGAGCAAAAGGGGTAGTAAAGTTAAACTCGGATTTTCTTGAATGACTAGTTACATTTTCTGAATTGTTCAAGTTAATGTTTAATAGGAGGAAGAGACCACTTTTGGTGGAAGTGTGGTGAACCAAACTTTGAAAGAGATCGGATTCTTTGTTCAGAAGAAACCAGGTTCAGACTTGCCAAAAAATAAGATTTCATCTCCAGCAGTATCCAAGAAAAAGAACCGCAAGGGTGGGCTTTCCATGTTCTTGAGTGGTGCCCTGGATGAGGTCCCCAAAGATGCTGCTCCCCCACCACCAGCACCCAGAAGTGAGGGTCCTGCATGGGGTGGGGCTAAGGTTTCAAAGGAATCTGCTTCACTTCGTCAAATACAGGATGAACAGGGCAAAACCAAATTGAATATACCAACTAGGAACAAAGATCAGGTGGAAGATCATTTTGATAGTAGAAGTGATGGAAAAGTTTTGTTGGGCTCACTTATGCCTTCCAAACCAATTCCTTTGGTGTCAGAACCAGCATCACAGGCATCTGATGCAGAAAGAAATACACCCCCATGGGCTTCCGGGACTCCTCCACTTCTTTCTCGACCATCACTTAGAGACATCCAAATGCAGCAGGTATACAAATGTCATACCTTGCTCTGTCTTTCCATTTTTTGTAATTGAATTGATGTCCTTTTCTGTACATGATAATTTGTTATGTGAGCATATAATTGCTCTGCGTTACAAGAATGCAACAAGATACATCATCATATTCATAATGATGCAGGCTAATAAATTGTGAATGACAGGATCATGTCTTTAGGTCGCCAATTTATTCTGTGGACAAAGTCATTACATTTCCGGAAAACACAATCCATAGTTTATGTTGGAAGAATGTCTAGATTGAATTACCATGCCTTCTTTCTATTTTCGTTTCAATTTCTTTTCTGAAGTTCAAGTCTGCATTTTTATTATACCTTCGTGATCATATTCTTTTTTTGCTTATCTCATCACAGGGAAAGCGACATCAAAGTATATCCCATAGTCCACAGATGAGAACACATGGATTCTCAGTTTCCACAGGTCAGTGCTCGCCATCAGATTCTCCAGGAATGAACCGCTGGTTCAAACCTGAGGTTGACACTCCCTCATCGATCCGTTCGATTCAGATCGAGGAAAAGGCTATGAAGGATCTGAAGCGCTTCTACAGTAGTGTTAAGATTGTCAAGAACCCATCTTAAGATGGCTGTATGATCTAACTTCAGTACTTGGCAACACGGGCGCTTCGATGCTCTTGTTTTCAGTTCAATGCACTGCTCTAATTTCACTGTACAGAGGTTACATTGTACATTCTGTTGTACTAGTTTTTAGCGTAGTTTTCATCTCTTCTATCTTAAGAGGACCTGGATGAATAAATTCTCAAATGTCCCTTCATTCTTTTTCAACAAGAGATAATTTTGAATAACAAAATCAATTGTTCATTGTAATAAGGTGTGAACAAGGGGCTGATGTTCATCAGCAAAATAATCATCTTCTCAAGCTGTGAGCAAGCTGGGCCAAAGCTGTATCACTCTTTTGTTTAGTTATTGGAACATCAATGCTTAAACACACTGTATTTATCATCATAATGAATTAGATTTTGTCCTGAAATCTATTCGTGTGCATGGTGGAAGGCTTATCCTGGACCTGCTAACCATTTAGAATACGGTATTTATGAATTTTTAAGAAATTAAGGAGATCCTTTAAGTTGTTTGTAACGTGCTAGAAATTATTGGTTCATGCGTGAATAAAAATCTTATGAAAAATACTTTTGGTCGGAAATACCGTTTCTTTTTCTCAACCAAAGGTTGTGGGGGTACGATGATTACATATCGGTTAATTATAGAATAAAAAACGGAATAGAATAAAAAATAAAAATAAAAATAGATTCCTAGAGCTATATTTATGCAAGGTTTCCAATTTCTTGATGATAAGGTGGCATATATACTCAAAACCGTAGGCGTGAGCTCCAATTCTGCCTTTGAAAATCGGGGAATCCGCAGCAGCTAATGAAGGGTAAGCGGCATGGTAAAACATTCAGCAACAATAAATTATTAATTAGAAGGTGAGTTTACTATTCATCTCTTTACAAAGCATTATTTGTTCAAACAGTGCTGTTTTTTTTTTTTTAAATTTAATTTTATTATTTAATATTAAATTTATTTAGGATGAAACTTTATCATTTATTTTGATTTACAAAATATTATTTAATTTTACAAAATATTTTTTTAATTTTACAATTTAATATCAAGTTTATTAGAAATTTAGCATTATAATTTATTTTTTATAACATTATCCTGATCTCATGATCTAATTAGAGAATTTGTCAGATTAATTTGAGATGACTTGAGTTTTTTAAAGTTTTTTAATTATTTTTTTAATTTTATCTTTCAATATATTTCTATAGGATTATCTTGATCTAATGACTAGGGCTTTAGGTTTGACAAGTTAACTTGAATTGATTTAAATTATATTATTTGGCCTTTTATTCTTTAATTGATTTTTTTCAATTTTATTTTTTAATATTAGGTTAATTGAGAACTGTTTTATAATTTATTTTGATTTAATTTTTATGAGGTTATCACTACCTCAATATTGAGGTCGCAAATTGAACAGATTTATCTGACTTGATCTAAGTTAATTTAATATATTACCATCTCAATATAAAAAAAAATACCATTTTAAATATCTTTGAGTCAAACTATATTTTTAGAGTATAAAAAGATTTATTTTGGATTCATTAAATTAATTAAATCATATCAAATTAATTTTCACTTGATACTGGAAAACACATTAGCATTATCTTAATATTTTTTTTCTATATTATTAAAAAGTTCAATCTGCTCCGTAATGTAACACATTCAATGATATAGTAATTAGCTGTGATACATGCATGAGCAATCATACAGGAATTACCTATGGTACATGCATGAAATATTCTTGATTAAAAGCAAGATTTACCCTGGCATGGATGGTGAACAATTAGTAGTAATAGAATGATAAATCGGGAGGAGCAGTTTCATCGTATCAAATGCTGTTTTATAACCCTATTGAACCTCTTGTCCTGTGACCTTTTTTCCCTTGGTGCTATATGTCTTTATTCCTTCAATTATAGAGGAGTGCCAAGATGTATGATTTCCTTTTTATTTTTTTATTTTTGAACGCCTTAACTTTTCTTTTCCTCCATTTTTGAAGAGGATTTGATGGGATGAGGTGACTTGGACGATCATGAACCATACGAGTTTTTATAGGTTGTATGATTGATGGTCTTGGATTAGGAAGGAAGTTTTATTTATTTTTTATTTTTTAAAATTAATGAGTATTTTAGCCTCGATAAATTTTATTAAATTTAAAATTAATAATTATATAAGTTCCAATTATATAAAATTTATCAGATTCGAACTGATAACTCAGGTTTTTTTTTCTAATTAATAAATTTAAAATTAATAATTATATAAGTTTCAATTGTATGAGATTTATTAAATTCAAACTAATAACTCAGGTTTTTTTTTCTAATTAGATTAAAGATTTTTTTAAATGTTTTTTATTTAAAATATATATATATTTTTTATTTTTTAAAATTTATTTTTAATATTAATAACACCGGCAGTAAAAAAATATTCGATCTTTGGGAAGAGGTCAATTATTCCAAGATTTGGACTCCATACTCTTTATGAAGTTCGGTCACCCCATGGAAAGAGATTTTGCTGAGAAGGAAGTGGCAAATGCATGCCCATATCTCCATTTCCTTCTTTAGATTGCAAATTAACTTTAATAATGGTCGACTTTCGTTGCTAAACTAGCAGTCAAATAAGTCTATTCTTCAATAATTACTTCATATGAAGCAACTTTGAACAGACATCTTTTGTTAACAAAATATCTTGGATTTGTTTTTAGTGTGAAAAATGCTATTCCTCTCGATCTTTTCTCTTAATAATATCGCATACTCAATCATTCTATCATAATTATTAAGCCAATCCATTAAATCCTCCATCCCTGTATCCTCATTAAAGTAGATATTTATTTGAATCTTCTACCATAACCTAGTTGGGTTATGGTGAAGAGAGTGTTTGAAAATATAATAATTGTTATTTTTTAATTTTTTTTATTTGAAAATTTATTAAATTAATGTTTTTTTTTACTTTTTTAAAATAGTTTTTGATATTAGTATATCAAGGAAATCAAAAGATTTTTTAAAAATTAATTTTAAGTAAAAAAAATATTTAAAAATCTTGAAAAGCACTGCTTCAAACACGTTCCCAAACGAGGGCTAAATCTCTCACCTTTCTCAATCTTTCCCACCATATCCAGCAAAACAGGGGCTAAAGTTTGGTATAGATTAGAAAACTTTATATTCTATATTTCTAGACAATTACCTTAATACTTAATTAATCATGACAGCAAGTATGTATCCTATTAATTTTCCTATATGAAAGTAATAATCAATAAAAGATGAGGCAAATCAAATATTTGATAGGCACTGCATAATATAGGTGGTGAAGTACTACTGCATACATCCCTTAGTTGTTTACTACATAGGTGGCCGTGTCTCACCATGAGCTGAGTTGATTTCTTTCGTTAAAAAAAAATAAAATATTAAAGTGTTGCCAGCATGTTTTAAAGCAAACAAAAATTCCATGAATCCATTTATAGACCATGATGCTAAAGGAAGAAGATGAAAAGAAAATAAAAAATAGAAAAAAATCTTCACCGAATCTATTTAAGTTACCATAACAAACTTGTGATAGTGATTATGAGACCGAGATATCCTCGTAAAAACATATATATATATATATAATAATAATAATAAACTCAGTATTTAATAAACTCAAAGTTAAAGATTAAAATCAATAAACAAAATAGATATAAAAAAAGATTAAAAAAGATGGTCAATGTCAACTTTAGCTAACATCTGATACCTATAACCCGAGTTATGATACGAGGATAGCTGCATATAAAAAAAATAACGAAACCTAATCCTCAACAATCTAATACTGAAAGTTGAAAATAAAAAAAATAAATAAAAAAAGAATAAAAAGAATTAAAAGAAGGGGGAACAAACTTGACATAAAAATAAAAAATAAAATGATGTGAAAGTCTTAAGCTAATTAGAGCTAGCATGACAAATGTATTACTTAAACCACGAGGCCGAATTATCATTATAGAAAGAAAGAAAAAAAATGCTTAATATTCAATAAATTTAATATTGAATGATAAAATTAAAAAAAAATTAATGAAAAAAAGACATAAATCAATCCGAGTTAAAATTTCATACCAATGACTTCAGTTATAAGACCAGGATCATTGTATCGAAAAAACTAACGAAGCTCAATTTTTAAAAAATAAAATATTAAAAAATAAAATTAAAAAAATTAATTTAAAAAAACCAAGATAAAAAATAATAATTAAAAGAATGAAGTCCAAAGCTAACATGAAAATTAAATTAAAACAAATGATAAATGATGGAATTGAAAAATATATATTTTTTAAAATAACATTAAAAAAATAAAAATCAAATTTGATATAAACATTAAATATGAAAAAATGCTAAGTGATAAAATTAAAAAAATAATTAATAAAAAAATTCAATATAAATAAAGAGAAATTAGAAGAATGAGTGCCATAATTAAAATAAAAAGAAAATTGAAGACAACTTTTTTAGCCGGGATGGCATGTTTTCTAAGAGAAGGAGAGAGAAAAGGTGTACCTTAATACTTAATTAATCATGACAGCATGTATCCTATTAATTTTCCTATATGAAAGTAATAATCAATAAAAGATGAGGCAAATCAAATATTTGATAGGCACTGCATAATATAGGTGGTGAAGTACTACTGCATACATCCCTTAGTTGTTTACTACATAGGTGGCCGTGTCTCACCATGAGCTGAGTTGATTTCTTTCGTTAAAATAAAATAAAATATTAAAGTGTTGCTAGCATATTTTAAAGCAAACAAAAATTTCATGAATCGATTTATAGACCATGATGTCAAAGGAAGAAGATGAAAAGAAAATGAAAAATAGAAAAAAATCTTTACCGAATCTAATTAAGTTACCATAATAAACTTATGATAGTGATTATGAGACTGAGATATTCTCATAAAAACATATATATAAAAAAATAAATTCAGTATTTAATAAACTCAAAGTAAAAAATTAAAGTCAATAAACAAAATAGATGTAAAAAAAAAATTAAAAAAGATGGTCGATGTCAACTTTAGCTAATCTTATACTTATAACCCGAGTTATGATACGAGGATAGCTGCATATAAAAAAAAATAACGAAACCCAATCCTCAACAATCTAATACTGAAAGTGAAAAATTAAAAAAAAGAATTAAAAGAATGAGGAATAAACTTAACATAAAAATAAAAAATAAAATGACGTAAAAGTCTTAAGCTAATTAGAGCTAGCATGACAAATGTATTACTTGAACCATGAGGCCGGATTATCATCATAGAAAGAAAAAAAAAAGATGCTTAGTATTCAATAAATCTAATGTTGAATGATAAAATTAAAAAATAAAATTAGTAAAAAAAAGATATAAATCAATCCGAGTTAAAATTCCATACCAATGACTTAGATTATAAGACTAGGATCATTGTATCGAAAAAACTAACGAAGCCCAATTCTAAAAAAATAAAATATTAAAGAATAAAATTAAAAAAATTAATTTAAAAAAGGAACCAAGACAAAAAATAATAATTAAAAGAATGAAGACCAAAGCTAACATGAAAATTAAATTAAAACAAATGATAAATGATGGAATTGAAAAATATATATTTTTTAAAATAACATTAAAAAAATAAAATTCAAATTTAATATAAATACCAAATATTATGAAATTCTAAATGATAAAATTAAAAAAATAATTAATAAAAAATTAATATAAATAAAGAGAAATAAGAAGAATGAGAGCCATAATTAAAATAAAAAGAAAATTAAAGATAGCTTTTTTAGACGGGATGGCATGTTTTCTAAGAGAAAGAGAGAAAAAAGATAAGGGAGGAAAAAAAACCCATATTGAGAAGATTAGCCAAATTTAAATGATAACCAACTGAATAAACCCTTATAATAAATTTTATATCTATCTAAAGTTAGTGTTGGGGCAAGCAATATTGAGAAGTAAGACTTCCATAAATTCCTAGTCTCGACATGAATAGCATATCTTTGATTGGATAAGAGAAATGATCTTAATTAATTAGCCTTTCCATGAAAGATAATCTAGGATTAATTTGCTAATACATGTATTTATTAATTTGATAATATTAAAAAAACATGTTTAATCTACCATATTATTTTCATAAATAGTATGGTTAGAATTATTTTTTTTTATCTAATTGATATTTGGGATCCATTGTATAATGTTTATACTTTCATATAATATAATTTGTCTTTGTAATATAAGGGGTTGACATGAAGGTTAAGATGGAGTAGTCATTTTTATCACCCACTAAAATTAAAACCTCATATCAAATCGTGAGAAGTATTAAAATGTCAAAAATCTCTAACCAATTAAGGACAACTAATACCAAGTATTAGCAAAAAAATAAAATAATAATAATAATGATTAAATGAAATAATAAAATAATGTTGAAAATAATAATAATAATGATTAAATGAAATGGAATTCATGGGTAATGTTAATTTGATGGCTAAACTACAGATTAAGTTTTTTTTTTTCTTTTCATATTTCTAAGTCTTAATAGCAAGGTTATCTTGGTGCCAACTTTTATTCATTGAGACTAATTCCTTATTCGGGTCTTAAAAAGGCTATCATTAAATGAACTGATGCATTCATAATAAATTATTTTGCCAACGATCTTTCCTCGGATTATTATTATTATTAGTTTTATGATATCATGGTAGCTAAACCAGTTACCAACGAGGCTATATCTCTAAAGGTGAGCATTAATTTATTCGTATAAGTTGCAAAGAAAAACTACCTGCTCCCACCTCAACAATATATATATTTCAATAATAAATAATAATACCCGAATAATTATGTTCATCCACATCCACATAGCAAATCAATGAAAGTTAATTGCAATAGGATAATATAAAATATTTAATCAATCAAGCTATTAGAAAAGATATTATAAGTAATGTACAAAGTTTTCTCTTATCTCTTTCTCTTTCTATGACTAACATCGTCAAATTTTATTAAAAAAGATTAGTAGTCACGTAACGTATATAAATTCTAGCAAATCAAATAATCATGTTTAATAGAAGTATAATATATAAATTACCTGAATTAATATATGAATATTATTAAAATAAATTTTTATTCAATAAATACCAATTTATAAATAAAAAATAAAAAGAAAATATCACAAAGATAATTGTTATTCAATAAATCAAACTAGCTCTTTAGAGAACCTAAGAATGTGAGAATATACATCTCACACACAAGTAAAATAAGTAAAATTATTATGAAATCAAAGTTTATAAAAAAAATTAAATACAAGCTAAATAACTCTATTTATAATAGATAAAAAATATCCTAAACAATTTTAGAAAAATAATAAAGGTGTTCTAAATATAATAGGAAAAAAAAATCCAAAATCAACAAGGAAATTAATATAAATTTTATATAGTAGCTTTTGTATCTTATTTAAAGATCTTATTGATATCCTATTAACCTGGAATTTTAACCATATATAAAAAAATATCTCTGAAAGATTATGGTAAAATCTCAACTTTTTTCATTGGTTGGATAAAAAATTATGCTTGTTAGTGTAAAACTATGTAATAGAAAAAATCAGCCCAAAATCGACTTTAACCTTCTTAACAAGTATGAAAATATTTTTAATAGTTCATACCCTTTATTATCCTTATAGAATATAGAAACTCCCAAAATATTCTATCAAAATATCCTTGCAATTTTAGGATTAATTTTTCAAACAAGATAGCCATCATGATGCCAACCCTAAGCTTATATTATGGAATAATTAAGCACTTTTTGCACGTGAATTAGGTTGATTATGGGCTGTCCTATATGCATTTTGTTTACGAGAAAGGTTGCTATTTGAAAGATATATTGTCAAAATTTCATCGGTAAAGAGGCATGAGCCAACAAGGTTAACCTAAATTTAACAACATGCCTGTGCTTCCTCTTAACTCTCTCATTCTAAGCTAAGTTGTAAGGGTAAGAAAAGCGATGAAGTATGTCAGATTGCTAAAGAAAGCCATAAAATATCTGAACTCGCTACCATTATCAAATTGTATACATTTGATTTTAGCATCAAATTGATTCTCGACTTGAAGTTTAAATTGCTTAAAGATAGGGAGAGATTGATTCTTTGTTTGTAGAGGATAAAACCATATGTACTATGAGTGGTCATCTAGGAATAAGATGAAATATTTAGCACCAGATGTAGACTTGACCGAGGTCCCTAGATGTTAGTGTGAACAAGTTCCAAAGGTTTAGATGCATGAAAAAGTGAAAGATAAGTAAGTAACCTATGACTTTTAGCATGTTGACAAGAAAAGCAAACAATAGAACAAACCGTAGCTTTATTCTTTCCGTAAGAAACATTACAACTTTACATTACTTGGGTTACAATGTTAGTGGCAACATGACCTAGTCTATGATACCATAACTCCATTTTATTATCAATAGGATAAAAACTATGAGAATGAAAAGTAGAAGAATTATTAACACCAAGATAAGCCATTTTCTTGTTGTTCAATACTGGAAACCTGTAAAGGCCATTCTCAAGTCTGCCTCGAGCAATCACCTTCTTCGTATATAGATCCTTCACAAAGAGACTATTAGATCAACACTCAATTAAAGTATTATTATCTGAGCATAACTTAGCAATATTTATCATGTTTGTTGAGATAAACGAAATGCGAAATACCTTTTTGAGTTAGAAGGAATGTGAATTAAAGACTAAATGTTGAGAACCAGTGTTGGAAATGGATAGATGATTACCATTACCAATTATGACCTTATTTGTTCACGTGTAGGGTGTAAAAATGGTTAGCTTTTCCACATTCTAAGTCAAATGATGACTTGTTCCATAATCATGATACCAAGTGTCATCTGTAAGCTTATTAGAAGAGGCAACCATAGTAGGTATAAAGTTTTGATTATCAGCATTCAAAGAAGGAGTACCACTATTATGAGAGCTTTGATAGGAGATATCAAATTTATGGTAATAGACCTAAACTGTACGACCAAATTTGCCACATAACAGGCATTATGGCTTCTTAGAGTTGGTTGAATTATGCCTTCCATTCTGTCTATATCTACCCCTGCGACCACGACCTTTGTAGGTGTAGTTATTGATATTAGAAGTATACTTTTGTTCTCGACTACCATTATATGTCCTTCCACTGCCTTTGTTATTAGAGGAAGAGGCATAATTGACAAACATAATAGAGATGTATTTAATTGAGCTTTGTTGATTAAGACGATGCTCAAAAGCTAGAAGCATATTGTGAACATCTTCAATAGAGATCTTTTCATCTCTTATGTTAATAGCAGTAACAACTACATTATAGTTAGATCCAAGGCCTTTAAGGAGATTCATAACCTAATCTTGTTTTGAGACAGGTTCTCCAATAACTGCTAGACTATCTGCAGCTCTGATCTTCATGATGTGGTCTATCATAAACCAAGATCCTTTCTTCATGGATTGTAACTCTAGCCTTGCATTATTCTAGCTCTTAAGAAAGACAAGAAGGTTTTCTTCGATGCATTCAAAATAGACTGAGAAGAATTGTGGCTTATGATCTGTACCATGATTGCTGGTGTAAGAGATGAGTAGATCCAATTGAGGATTGTGTGATCTTGTCTTCTCCAAACAATAAACATTGGACCTCTTTCTTCAGAAAAATAGAGGTCCCAGTTATGAAATCCTTAAAACCATTAGTAAAAACAACATTATCAATATGAGATCTCCATAAGATATAATTAGTTTGATCAAGTTTCACAGACAACATGTATTTAAGCATTTGATAAGAAGGAATTGATGCCATTGTTGTGCTTTATCTAGATCCAATTGAGCTAGAGGATGCAGTAGATTGAGTAGAAGCACAAGCCATGATTGGATCAAAACAGAGATATAAAAAGTATGAGAAAAAAAGAAAGAAAAAGAAAGAGGAATTCCTACACCTTTGATCGAAAGCTCTGATACCAAAATAGAATTTGAGAAAGTAAATCTCTGTTCACTTATTGTGTGAAGCCAGAGAATGAACCACATATATATTATTTCATAAAAGGTAGTTACAGAAGTAGGGAAAACCAGCTACAATGACAACTGTTATAACTATAAAATAACTATGATAAGTTTGGAGCTAGGTAGTTATAACAATATAACATATTAGTAAAAATAAATCCAACAATATCAAGTTAGGTAAATCATGTAATAGACTTTTTTAGCCTTGGCTTATCATATAACTAAAGCCATTATCTATTATTTATTTTTAAGAAAAAACCCAAAAAACTACACTTAAGAAAAAAAACAAAACTGATGTGTTATAATAAAAAAATAAAGAGACTATCTAAGATTTCTTATTACACTATAATTTAATGCCATCATTATATCTTAAGAAATCATTTCATGTATAAGTGAAGTTTGAATCCAGAGTATGTAACTAAATAGGAATCCAATAAAAGATGAAGTTTGAATCCAGAGTATGTAACTAAATAGCAATCCAATAAAAGATGATAGAGAAACAATTAAATAAACTTAAATAGCAATCCAATAATAGATGATAAAGAAACAATTAAATAAACTTATAGTTCCCTCAAAAATAATTTTGTTCCTCAACAACCAAATATCCCTTATAGTATTACTGGAGATTAGTCTCAAAACTAATATTTGGAATTTACTTTGCACCATTCCTGTTAGGAAATTAAACTTTAATATTCTCTTTATTTAGTAATAGATAATTAATTAGTGTATATTATCTTTCTATTGTAATGCCTATCTTATAGCTTGGCACCTGTAATGTAGCTTTTCATTCCTGACTTGTAGGAATGTTTTGCTGTACAAATACACGACCTAATATCAATAATATTCATTCAAGCAAATTACATCTTTCCTTCATCTTTTCATGGTATCAGAGCAGAGTTAGGATCCTAATTCATCTTGATTCATCGCTGCACTCAAGTCACTCGTGTAGCATCTTCATTTTCCAGCCATCATGTCCACAGATGAAACATCACCAACAATTGACATAGGCAAGGAGATTATCGTTCCTACCACTTCTGCAGATCTCTCAAAGGCCAATATCTCAAACCTCAATTTCACTCATCATGCAGATCATCCAGGCTTGGTTTTGGTTTCCAAACCTTTAAATGGAGATAATTATTCCACTTGAAAAAAAGCTGTGACTTTGGCCTTAAATTCTAAAAATAAGTTAGGCTTTGTCAATGATTCAATCAAAACCCCTTCAGAAGAAACTGATCCTATGACCTAGTCTCGATGCAATGATATGGTCCATTCCTGGATCATCAATGCTCTCAATCTGGAAATTTTAAATAGGATGATTTATAATTCTACTGGTCATGAGGTCTGAGAAGATCTTCATGAGCGATTCTCTCAAGGCAATGCACCTTGTCTCAAACAAGATATTGCTTATCTCAAACAAGAACAACTCTCCGTTTCTACTTACTACACCAAATTGAAAGGTTTATGGGATGAATTGGCTTCATACAATAATGAAATACATAGGGGACAACAAGATCAGCAAAAATTAATGAATTTTTTTATGGGGCTGAATGACTCTTACAGTGCTATTCGTGGGCAGATTCTCCTAATGAATCCCCTTCCTTCAGTTTGGCAGACGTATTCCTCTATTTCATAAGAAGAAAAACAACGCCTCCTGAGTTCAACATACGCTGCAATTGACTCTAACAGTAGTGTAGCTATGGTAGTTTGAAGCAAACCCAACCCAGTCAAGCATGAGAGATCTAACCATCCATATAGGTCCTAAGACTCACGATCGCAATAGAGGCAGCCTGGAAATTTCAGGCAAGATAGACAACGACATGGTCTAGGAACAGGCAGAGGACGCCCTAATTGCTTACACTATAGAGAAATGGGACACTGGGTCCAAACCTGTTATGAGTTAAATGACTATCCAGTGGGCCATCCAAAGGCTAAATTTAACTCAGGCTCAAGAGGATTCAACAACAGAACTAAGCCTGCAGTGAATAATATTGCCGAGGGGTCTTCTAAAATTGGTGGCAGCTAGATTGTTGGGATTTCAGAGGACCAGTTAAAACAATTTTTATCGCTTGTTAGTAAAAATGACGATTCTATCTCTCAGGCCAATGCTGTGACCAAGCCAGGTTTGTCTAACATCGCTTCCGCAATTGGATCATCGATAGCGGGGCAACAGATCATATTTCTTCATCATCTAAATTATTTTTCCACAAAAATAAAGGTTGTTTGTTACCTCCTATAATGTTACCTAGCGGAGATAAAGTAAATATTGTTGCGAAAGGATCGTTGCCTCTGAATTCTGTCTATTATTTGTATAATGTGCTATGTGTTCCTATTTCAAGGTTGATTTGATATCAGTTAGTCGTCTGACGAGAGGCCTGAATTGTTTAATAACCTTTTTCCCTTATTGGTGTATTTTGCAGGATCTAGCTACGAGGAGGATGATTGGTTTGAGTAAACAACGTGATGGTCTATATTATATGGCGGCACTTGCAACGAAGAATTCAGTAAACACCTCCTCCTCACCCATAAAACAACCAACCTGCAACCTTACCATCTCATCCACCGATTTCTGGCATCATCACTTTGGCCATGCATCATCTTCCCATTTAAGTTTTATTGCCAAGAATTTTTAAATTTTTTTGATTCAATCAAATAATAATTGTCTTGTATGCCCTTTGGCTAAGCAGAGTCATTTACCTTTTAGCCCTAGTACAATTTCTTCACTAAAACCTTTTGAACTAATTCATTGTGATATTTGGGGTCGTTATCGACACCCTTCTCTTACTGGTGCTCATTATTTTCTTACCATTGTGGATGATTTTACTCGTTTCACATGGATATTTTAATGCGACATAAAGATGAAGCACAATCAATTTTAAAATAATTCTTTAGTTTTGTTTAGACTCAATTTGAGTGTCATATAAAAACTTTTTAAAGTGACAACGGTGGGGAATTTACCTCACTACATTCTTTTTTTCAAGATCATGGGGTCGTTTTTCAACATTCTTGTGTTTACATGCCTCAATAAAATGAGGTTGTGGAACGTAAACATCGTCACTTTTTATAAGTGGCTCGCGCTTTAAAATTTCAAGCTCAACTCCCTATCCTTTTTTGGGGGGAGTGTGCTCTTACCGCCGTCCATATCATCAATCGGTTGCCCTCTTTAGTTCTTTCTTTAAAAACTCCTTTTGAACTTCTTTACTCAGAACGACCTTCTTTTTCTCATTTTCGTGTCTTTGGTTGTTTAGCTTATGCTACTAATGTCCGTGTTTCCTATAAATTTGATCATCGTTCCATTCCTTTGATTTTTATTGGCTATCCTGTTGGAAACAAAGCCTATAAATTATTTGATTTTTCGACCAACAAAATTTTCACCAGCCGTTATGCCAAATTTCATTAAACTTTTTTTTTTCTTATGCATCTGTCAAGCCCATTTCTCCTTCCCCAACGGTGCTTAGCCCAATTCCTCTTTTGGCCCGTGATATCCCTTGGCCCAATTCTTTTTCTCCAACACCAAATGTTTCTCTGTCAAACACTGTTACGCCTCCTGCTTTACCACTTTCCTTACCTGCGTCTCCTTCCTCTCCTTTACTAGAAACACTACACACGTCCCTTTCCCCTCTTTCATCAACACCACCTCCTTCCTCTAAAATTCATTTGTCATCATCTTCTTCGCTTGTTCTATCATTCGAACCCTTGTCAATTCCACCTTTCCATTTGCCTACCCCTGTTCCTGATCCTATTCCCCTCTATCACTCTAGTCGCCAAACCGGTTCGCCGGTCAAGCTCAAGGATTTTGTCTGCAACAATGTTTACTCCACCTAATCAATCTCATTGTCGCTAGGTCCAACTAAAGGTACTTGTCATCCTCTGGCTAAACATCTCTCATATCACATATATATGCCTCAATATAAATCTTTTATTGCTCAACTCGGTATAATAACATAGCCTAAGTCTTATTTAGAGGTCGTTGTTCATCTTGAGTGGCAGAAGGCCATGAACTCCAAGTTACAGGCTCTCCAGGCCAATGGCACCTGGACTCTTACTCCACTTCCAACTGGTAACACTCCCATTGGTTGCAGATGGGTGTATAAAGTCGAGCTCTAATCAGATGGGTCTGTTGAGAGGTACAAAGCACGGTTGGTTGCTAAGGGCTTCACTCAACTAGAGGGCATCAATTATCAGGATACATTTTCTCCTACTGCCAAGATTATTTTAGTTCATTGCTTGCTTGCTTTAGCTGTAGCTTGTGGGTGGTCTTTGCACCAAATGAACATTAACAATGCCTTTCTTCACGGTGATTTGGTTGAGGAAATTTATATGTCTCTGCCGCTTGGGCATCAACGACAGGGGGAGAACAATCTGGTATATCTCTTTCATAAGTCGTTGTATAGTTTGAAATAGGCATCTCACCAATGCTTCACTAAGTTTTTAGAGGCTATTTGTTTTGCTGATTTCATTCAATCTCGAGCCGATTACTTTTTGTTCACCAAAACACAAGGCAAGATCTTTACTACTCTTTTAATATACGTAGATGACATTCTAATTACTGGAAATGATCCTACTAGCATTGCCACCACTAAGAAATTTCTACATAGTTGTTTTAACCTTAAAAATCTTAGTAATCTGAAATACTTCCTTGGTATTGAAGTTTCTGCTTTTAAGAAAGGGATTTTTATCTCCCAACAGAAATATGCATTAGAAATCATTGAGGATGTAGGTCTATTAGGTGCAACCTCGATTAATACTCCTATGGAACGAGGCTTGAAATTATCTAAACAATAGTGATTTGCTCAAAGAACTGAGTAAGTATCAAAGATTGGTTGGTAGATTAATTTACTTGACTGTTTTGAGGCCAGATATAACATATGCATTACATGTTCTGAGTAGATTTATGCATCAACCCCAAAAACTTCATATAGAGGCAGCTCTTCGGGTTATCCAATATTTGAAAGGTGCACTTGGCCAAGGCTTATTTTTCTCTTTGAATAGTGAATTCAGGTTAAGAGCTTATTGTGACTCAGATTGGGCAGGTTGTCCACTTACTAGGAGATCAACTACAGGTTATTGCGTTTTTCTTGGACCGTCATTAATATCCTGGAGGTCGAAGCGACATAAAACAATTTCTCTTTCTTCTACCGAGGTAGAGTATCGTGCAATGACAGGAGCCTGCTGTGAGTTGACATGGCTACGCTATCTATTAAGAGATTTAGGACTAACACATCATGAATCAGCTTTGTTGTTTTGCGATAACAAGGTTGCCTTACACATTGCAGCCAACCCAATTTTTAATGAGCAAACTAGATATTTTGAGATGGATTGTCATTACATTAGAGACAAGATTCAAGATGGTTTAGTGATTACAAGATATGTGAGTTTTGCATACTAGTCGGCAAATATCTTGACGAGCCTTTGGGCAAGGAGAATTTTGTTCCTATGATTCACAAGTTAGGAGTACAGGATATTCACTCTCCAACTTGAGGGACTTGAGGGGGAGGGGAGTATTAGGAAGTTAAACTTTAATATTCTCTCTATTTAGTAATAGATAATCAATGTATATTTTTTTTTTTTTTATTGTAATGCCTATCTTATAGCTTGTCACCTTGTAATGTAGCTTTTAATTCCTGACTTGTAGGAATGTTTTGCTGTCCAATTACCCGACCTAATATTAATAATATTCATTCAAGCAAATTATATCTTTCCTTCATCTTTTCAATTCCAGACCATTGCATAAACAACAAGTCTAGAGTTGTTATGTGATTTACCCTAAAAAATCTATTTTTCTCGGTATATAACTCATATTGAAAGCATTAGATAGAGAAACTCGAATTTTAGCCTTCAAACTCGAATTGTGATAACCACTACATCTTGATCTGTGTTTGATCGAAAACTCTAAGATAAGTCAGGATTTTAACTGAAATGGTTTTTACTATTCTTTATTCATTTTTTAGTGGTGGGATGAGAAAACACTTCACGCACAAATTAACTTAAATAAATTGAAAGAAATCAATCATGGTACAATCGATTACGTGTGTTTGTGTTTGTGTGTGTGTCTGTATATTCCTGACTAGCAATGCTTTTTGCCATGATTTGTGTGTTTAATATTCCCCATTAATTTGATCTCTTTCGTAATCGAAAATGTTTTTGTTTCGTATCTTCGTAGATTTCCTATTTTTTTTTTGCTATATACATATCTTTATGTTAAAGCACAGAGTAAGTGCAGATATCATGCTTTGGTATGGGCGGTGGTGATCCTTTTTGGTTCATGATGGAGATATCTACCTTGTTGTTACGTATGGCTTTTCTTGGGAAGACCACAAAAATTAACTATGATATATCAATAAATAAAATAAATAGGGGGATTGTGGAGGTCCATGTCCCCTCCCTCATGCTTCTCTTTGGGTCCTCGTTATTTCAGAGACAAAGCTCTTTTTTTCCACAGAGGTAGCCTGTAAAAGCCTCCAAAGTCCCTCTCTTTCTTTTCTAATAAAAAGCTCCCTACAAGAAGACAACATCATCCCTCCAAAACCTACCAGCCTTTTCATTATTTTATTCTTCAAATGACCTGTCTATCATGTGCTTTTCCACATTTATGTCTGTGTTATCTTTTCTCTTGCCTCCATCCACTTCCTTAGTGTGTGGTCTTGTGTGCTAGCTTGTAAGTATGAAGAGAGTGATAATATTGAGAACCTGAGTACCTTGCAGCCTCGTTGTGTTTTGATTGTTGAATCATGACTCAGATATAGAGGATCCTTGAAAGAAGGAAAAGGGGTGTTTGGAATGAAGTTTGATCCAAGATCCTTGTATCTCCCGTTCATTTAGTCCATGTTACTGCTAGGTTTCGCTATGAATCGATCAGCGTATACACAGCAGCTACGAGCTAGGCCTTTTGTTCAGATTTTAGCTTCAATATAGAGTGAGCGCTAGTGATAGAGTTTGATTCAAGATCCATCTCATGTGTGCTAGCTAGCTTTTAAAATTTTAATTATATCCCTACTTCCTGTTAATTCTTAGGTTTTTTCTTGCAAGTTCTTATATTTGGTAAACATCATGAACTGATCTCGGACCAGGCTTCATTCCTTACACCGAACCTTTCCTCTGGCTGATTACAAGACCCTAATTATAAGGTATGTGCTCCTGATCCAATCTCATCTCCTGCAACAACATAGTTCTGATCTCCTCGTGAAATTTGAAGTAGATTATTTATTGCATTTTCTGGTCTGACTTATCAATCATTCTTTGATTTCGATCTCGTCACCATGTACTGAAATATTCGTATGGCTACTGAGATCGATATATCCTTTGATATTTCCTTGACTTCAGCTTTCCAATATTTGACCTGTCACTACAAGACCATGAATTTGATCAGAAATACCCAGAAAATAGTAGATCGATTCCATGATTTTAGTTTTATAAAGCACGTACTCCTTGTTTCTTCTATCCAGCTCTTTCCTGTCCAACCTAGAGAATTCTCCAGGTGACAAAAAGATTCGCAGACAAACAATACAAGACATGTACGAATGATGCTTTAATTTATTAAAAACATATAGATAATGTCAAGTACATATGAATATATTCACACGCGCGCGCGCGCACCCACACACCTCTCTCCTTAATTTCCTGTTTGGAAGTTTGTATCAAGTTTAATTTGCTTCTTGGTGTTTTTACCCTTCAACACGCCTGTACCCCTGCTAAAAATCTTTGATTCTTGGTCTGTTTCACCGAGTTCTGCATGGATCTCATACAGATAAACCCCGTAGCGTGTCCCTGGAAGCATATCCCTACATATCTGGGTTTATATACATGCAGACAGGCTCTATATATATGATCAGTATGTCCTTGCATATGAAAACACTCACAGATAGTTTATTACATGTGGCCATATACAATTTTTCTTTTTTTCTTTTTTTGATGAATGTGATCGGATCTTATGAATTATGATTAATAAGAAGATTCCGTGCAAGAGAGCGATACATTATGGCTAAAATTAACAAGGGGCCATATCTATATTTTTGCTGTAAAATATTATGTGACAATTAATTTAATTCATTTTCAACAGATTTATCTGCAATTATTGTTTTTTTGGACGAAAATGCAATTATTGCTTGTTTCATTATCTTTAATGCTCAGTTTATACATCATCTGCAAAATAATATACGTTGCACTATCATATAGTTACGACGACAAAATCTTGTTTTAGGGCACAAGGAGACTCGTTTTCTACGCATATGATTTAGCATTTTTGTTGTTTTTCTGCTACTAATCACATCACTCATATACAGAACCGATTTTGTCATTAACATATAATTTATTCAAAGTGGTGATCTTGAGGTGATGTTTTGATTAGAAAATACAGTGCTATGCTCTTCAATTATGGGACAAGATATGACTGATTTGATTTGCTAAAATGCTAGGGAGGGGATTATATTATGTTATATATCGAGAACCTTTTTTATTTATTTATTAATGTATAATTAATTAGATGAATATTACAATGAAAAGATTTCTTGTTAGTGTGCCAATGCATTACCAACAAAGGAAACAGAGAAAAGTAAAGGAACTATCACATCATGTTTGTATATTGAATTCTACCATATACATACAGCAATTTTAATGAATTAAACGACAATATTTCCTTAAAAAAAAAGTACATATTTTTAATTAATTATTACTAACATTATAATCACTTGTAAAAAAAACAATATAACTACTATAGAAGCTATTTCTTTTTCATTTTTTATTTATCTCCTAACCTGCTAAGAAATTATCTATCTCCATCGTGTAAAGAAAAAACAACAAGAACTATGAGATGAATTCAATATATAATGATTCTCTAGAATAGCAGTGCAGTGTTCTTTATTTTCGATGGATGACCTAGGATTAGCTTTTGAATTCAAAGAGTCGACCAGGATGTTTGAAACATTTAATTCAATATATACCTGTTTTTTTTATTAATTTCTTGTTTGTTGATAAAAGTATCTTTAAATTAATTTTGTTGTCACCTAAAATTAAATGTCTTCACAAATAATTTTATGGGCACACTTTCATATTGATATGATGTATTTTTAAAAAATTAATAAATTACCTTGAGTGAAGATATATTTAAAAAATCAAGGCAATGAATAAGCTATATTAACACCAATCTCTTAAAATTAAAATGTGTAGTTATTTCAAAATTCTATAAAATGGTTATATAAAAAAAAAGTGTTCAATGTGAAATGGTAGAGCGGAGAAGCATTGAGCTTTTCTGTTGGGCACAGAAATCTGAATTTTATTTTTATTAGTATCACAAACTAATTATAAGATTTAAATGAGTTAAAGCTGATTATTTCTGTAATTTTGGGCTATTATAATTAAGAATTAACTAATTTTAGAGTGTTTTAGTCCGATTATTATATATACATTACTACGCAATTAATTAAGCCGTATATATATATATACACACACTGTTAAAAGGCACGGTGAAAGTTACAGTACTTTCCCCTTGCCACGTGCTTTTTTTTTTTTTTAAATTTTTTGTTTGTTTTTTTTATTCTCCATATTTTTTTTATATTTTTATATTTTTGGGCTTTATATTTTTTTTAAGATTATTTTTTAATATTTTTTTAAATTATCTTTATTAATTTTTTTTAATATTAAATTAGTTGAAAGTATTTTTTTAAAGTATTATTTTTTAATATTTTTTTTCTGTAATTTTTTTTAAAATATTGTAGATTACTGTAATATTTCCCTGGTTATTTTTTTAATCAATTTGTTTACCATTTTTTCTTAGTAGTTGTTTTTTTAAATATTGTAGATTGTTACAATGTTTCTTTATATAGTTTTTGTTTTACTATAGTGTTTCCATAAATATTTTTTTTTAATTTATCTTTGTTGATTTTTTTAATATTAAATTGGTTGAAAATTTAGCCTTTTTTTTGTTATTTTTTCTCTTTTTTTTAAATTGTCTTCTTTTTTTTTTCAATTTTTATATTTTTATATTTTTGGGCTTTATATTTTTTTTAAGATTATTTTTTTAATATTTTTTTATTAATTTTTTAATATTAAATTAGTTGAAAGTTTTTTCTGTAATTTTTTTTAAAATATTGTAGATTACTGTAATATTTCCCTGGTTTTTTTTTTATCAATTTTTTTACCATTTTTTCTTAGAAGTTTTTTTTTTAAATACTGTAGATTATTACAATGTTTTTCTTTATAGTTTTTGTTTTTTTA